AACGATTTGTGGTAATATTGTAATAATGGTGGCCGGCGACGGCGGCGATCGGCATCGAAAATGGTGGTCGGTTTTCTCCTCCGGCGAGAGACAACGAGAGCTTCTCTCTCTCTCTAAAGAGATAAAAGTAAAACCATAAAATGAGAAAATCAACCCTTAAAGGCCGGTTAAATGGGTTTAAATATCCTCCCCCACACGGTATCGTTTTGGGGGACGGGTGTTTGTGTAAACTCCCGCATGGTCAAACCACACGCGCAGTCACTCTGACTTTGTAAACTTACATTATGGTCATTGAAATCTATTTTCTATTTATTTTAATTTGGTATTCTAATTTTAATACATTATGTTTTAGTCCATGCCAGTATTTATATATAATTTAGGATAAATACTAGATTTAGTCCCTCGTGTTTTAATAAATTTTATTTTAATCCTGATTAATTAATTAGGGATAAATTACATTGTTAGCATTAAAATTTTATAATATTACGAACTAGGGCCTTTAATTTGGATATTTTACATTTTAGTCACCGATATTTTATTTCTTTTCATTTTTTACCTTGAATTTTATATATTTTACAATTTAATTCCACAGTTTTAATTTCTTTTATTTTAGTCATTATTTAATGTAATTTTATTCTATTTTTTATTTATCATTTATTTTTTAATATGTTTAAATTAATAATTTAATAATTTATTTGTTTGTTTGTTATTATTTATGTTTTATTCACTAATATTTATATGAAATACAATATAATAATTTCATAATTTAATTAAATAATAATATTTATTTATTTTTAAATACTCAGAAAGGGTGATCTTAAAATAACTAGATGTCCTATTCTGGTATTTTAAAAATAAACAAATATCATGTTTATAAAAATATATATATTTCATATCATTTCATTTAAATTATTTTATTCTTATTAATGTTTATTTGTTTTTTAATATCAAAGAAAGGGCTATCTTAATGTAACTAGATGTCATTTTCTGATATTTTTAAATAAATAAATACCCTATTTATAAATCCTTAAAAATATATTCTATTTAGTTTTATAAAAATTATTTTAATATATTTTATTTTAAAATTTTACAATTGAATCTGGAATAATTGATCATAAATTGAATTTATATTTGAATTCTTAAAAGAGAAAATAACCTCAGTGACCAAAAATCCCATATAATATACGATTTTAACCAACTTTTTCCGGATTTGCCAAAATGACCAACAAAATCGCAATGCGATCGCTAAATCGCAACGCGATCTCCATTATCACAAATTCGCGTTGCATTTTCGCAATGCGATAGTTGAAAATCGCGTTGCGATGGTCTACAGTATCGTTGCGATTTTCCCAATTCGCAATTCGAATAAGTAAATCGCAACGCGAATTGGGAAAATCGCAATGCGAATAAGTAAATCGCAACGCGAATTGGGAAAATCGCAATGCGATACTGACTATCACAATGCGATAATAAAAAATCGCAACGAGATACTTACTTTCGCAACGCGATACTGACTTTCGCAACGCGATAATACATAATCGCAATGTGATTTTCAAAGCGCCATTAGTATCCTGGCCAAGTATTTTATTTTTAATTTCCAGACATGAATATTAATATATTGGAACACTGAACTGTCCACAGTATATCCCGTAATCGCAACTCATAACCTAAAACCTAAAATCACAACTCAGTCCCATCTCCATCTCTCACTCTCTCACCCATCTCCGACGAAATCCGTCCCCATCTCCGGCGAAATCCGTCTATCTAAATCTCTCAGAGCCACCCTCACAATCAGAAATGGAAAATCAACCAAATCAACCACGAGGGTTAGTTTTTTTAATTATTTCTTTTTGAAATTTTTGCATTATTATTAGGTTTTTCATATTGAAATTGATGATAAGTTTACTGGTAATTTCAATAATAGATTAACCATTTCACTTAGATTGCTTATTAAATCAACCAAGAATCGCAACGCGAAATGCAAATCGCAACGCGATTTTAGTTTTACGTTGCGATTCTCTCGTTGCGATAGTCATTTTCGTGTTGCGATTTTCATTTTCAGAAACTATTCTGCTTCTGCAAATTGAAACTTGAATGAATTGCATTACTTCAACCAAAAAACAAAGACAAATACGAAATTCACAGTGTTGCATTTAAGTTTGAAGAATAAACTACTACTATTTATGTTTATTATTGTTTTTGGATATCTTCATAGTGTGTTTTTGGTATATCTAATTTAGTATGTTTTATTGTTTTTGTAGAACTTTTATTCGGCTCAATTGACCTTGAGAAATAAAGTCAGCCTGGCCAAAACAATTGCGTCGAAGCTTTCACCTGCACAAAGAAAAATGTTTGAGGATACATGCTTCGGGCCATGGCTGAAAGTACAACATCCGGTGGAGATGCGATGTTGACACACCTGTTTCTTCAACCATGACTAGCGATCTACCAGAGACTATACAACGTCGTGATGAAGAGATATGGTTGATTTTCCACCGGCGTATACGTGTTTTGGGCGGGAGGAGTTTTGCTTATCACCGGTCTACGCTTCGGACACGATGATGTAGGTCGGTACACTAGACACATTACCGCCCATCATGGCTATCCCGGGTTTTTTCCTGAGCTGGAGACCGAGTCTACACGTAGAAGACCTGACAAGATTTTTGAATAATAAAGATGGTTTTACTCGGATGGATGACGTCGACGTGTCCGAGTATGCCTTCTAATTCTTTTGCATGCCGGCTTTTTAGGCAGAGAGGCCAGACAACCTATTCCAAATGAATAATCAAATGGTAGAGACCTAAATGCGTGGAACCTGTTTCCGTGGGGCTCGTATTTATGGAAAGCATGGAATAAGTTATCGTCTGCCTTGGATGATCGAAAAGTTTGCATGGGATGGTTCCAAATACACTTTGACAGGCTTTATTTGGGCCTTTAAGGTAAAAATTTTGATATGATGTTTCCAAAATTATAATAATTATTTAACAATTACTAATGTTTGTTATTATATTGTTTGTAGATTTGGATATTTGAGGCCTTTCCCCGCCATGAAGACATATGCAATAAAACTTCAAATGATATTCCCAGGGCTATTTCCTGGAAGAGGAAACGGACCTTGCAATGGGAAGATTTACTACGGTATACGACAATAAATAATGTAAGTTAACATAAATACTACCATATGTTTATAAACAAGTTATTACTAGTACACGTTTAACTTTGTTTGAGCTTTTATATTGTTAGGAGGCCAACACTCCTCTACAGAGGCTGACACCCACGGAAGCTGAGCTTGCCACTGATTGGTGGCAAGCTAGTAAGCGTTTTTTGATGGAACGGTTGATGAGCAGCCTCCACTTCGGGAGCCATCACCTCGCCCAGAGCTATCACCTCACCCAGAGCCATCATCTGATCGACCCGGCTATACACCTCCACAACGACAGTCATCACCTATTCTGTCACATCATCGAGCCTCTTCTCCACCATCACCGCAAGATAGGCGACCGGCAAAGATGCCACGATGTTTATCTCCCTGTTCTCCACCTCCACCTCAACGGGATGAGTTAGGGGAGTTACGTGATGAGGTCAATGCCTTGCGTGAGGAGGTCGGTACTTTACGCAAAGACGATGGTGCATGGCGTGTTGAGGTGTCTACATTACGCGGTGAGGTAGCCGCTCTACGTGAGATAGTAGCATCGTTGCAGAATGAAGTTCATACTCTACGCAACGAGGTAAGTTTAAGATTTTTCATACTTGTAATTCATTCGGTTGCTGCCAATACTGCTAAACTGTTTTTGTTAGTATTTGTTTTTGGTTTTGTTTTTGTCTTTTGGTTGAAGTAATGCAATCCATTCAAGTTTCAATTTGCAGAAGAAGAATAGTTTACTTTCGCAACACGAAAATGACTATCGCAACGCGGAAATGGCTATCGCAATGCGAAATGAAAATCGCAACGACAAAATCGCAATGCGAAATGAAATCGCAACGACAAAATCGCAACGCGAAATGAAAATCGCAATGCGATTTGTGTTTCGCGTTGCGATTTTGTCGTTGCGATTTCATTTCACGTTGCGATTTTGTCGTTGTGATTTTCATTTCGCATTGCGATAGCCATTTCCGCGTTGCGATAGTCATTTCGCGTTGCGATTTTAAGTTTCATGTTGCGAAAGTAAACTATTCTTCTTCTGGAATGTTTATATATGTTCCTTTTAAATGTTTATATAAGTGCTTACTTCTGGAATGTTATCTGAGCATTTTGTGAACTATGATAGAATAATGATTTGGGTGAATACAATGCTAGTTTGAAACATATTTGTCTTGCGGGACTCTTGAGGGCCTCTTCAACGATAGGAGTGGACTCTTGAGGGATGATAGGCGAGTCGGGCTTCTTCTTGCGGTGTCTTCGCACTATTGGGGTATACGGAGACTTAATAGCACGTGCACGCCGTCTGATGCGTGAACTCTGTCGTGCAAGAAAAACCCGACGTAAAGCATCCACCTTATCGGTCCGCTAAATAAAAAATACAAATATCAGTAAATAAACAGACATGATATTTAAACAGTGAAAACAAAGATAAATATATTTCAAACTTTCAACCAAAAGACAAAACAAAGACAAATACTAACTTCACAGTGTTAAAGTAAAAAGTTTAGCAGTTTTGGCAGCAACCGAATAAATTTACTAAGCAATCTAAGTGAAATGGTTAATTTAAGTGAAATTACGAGTAAATTTATCATCAAGTTAAATATGAAAAATCTTAAACTTATCTCGTTGCGTAGAGTATGAACCTCATTCTGCAACGATACTACCATCTCACGTAGAGCGGCAACCTCACCACGTAAAGTAGACACCTCCACATGCCATGCACCATCGTTATCGCGTAGAGTACCGATCTCCTCACGCAAGGCATTGACCTCATCACGTAACTCCCTTGACTCATCCCGTGGAGGTGGAGAACAGGGAGATAGAAGTCGTGGCATCTTTGTCGGTCGCCTATCATGAGGTGATGGTGGAGAAGAGACTCGATGATGTGACGGGATAGGTGATGGCTCTCGTTGTAGAGGTGTATAGTCGGGTCGATCAGGTGATGTCTCTGGGGTGAGGTGACGGCTCTCGAAGTGGAGGAAGTGGAGGCTGCTCATCATTCGTGCCATCAAAAAAACGCTGACTAGCTTGCCACCAATCAGTGGCAAGCTCAGCCTCCGGGTGTCAGTCTCATTAATGGAGTGTTGGCCTCCTAAAAATATAAAAACTAAAACAAAGTTAAACGTCTACTATTAATAACTTGTTTATATATGATAGTATTGTGTTAACTTACATTATTTATTGTCGCATATGGTATTAAGTCTTCCCAATCCAACATACGTTTCCTCTTCCAGGAAATAGCCCTAGGAATATCATCTGAGTATTTTAATGCATATGTCCGCATGCTGGGGAAAGCCTCGAATATCCAAATCTACAAACAATATAATAACAAACATTAGTAATTGTTAAATAATTAATTATAATTTTGAAAACATTATATAGAAATTCTTACCTTAAAGGCCCAAACAAAGCCTGACAAAGTGTATTTCGACCCATCGCCCCGCAAACTTTTGCGGTCATCAAAGGCAGACGACAACTTAGTCCAGGTAGCTTTCCATATATACGAACCCCACGGAAACAGATTCCATGCATTTAGGTCCTCTACCAATAATATTAGCTCCTGAGGAATAGGTTGTCTGGCCTCTCTGCCTAAAAAGCCGGCATACAAAAGTAGTAGAAGGCATACTCGGACAACATCGACGTCATTCATCCGAGTAAAACCATCTTTCTTATTAAACAATTTCTTCATGTCGTCGACGTGTAAGTTCGGCTTCTCTATTGACTCATCAGGAAAAACCCTGGATAACCATGATGGGCGGGTGATATGACGAGTGTACCGGCCTACATCATCGTGTCCGAATCGTAGACCAGTGATTAAGCAGAACTCCTTCCGCCCAAAACAAGTATACGCCGGTGGAAAATGAAACCATATCTCTTCCTCACCACGTTGTATACTGTCGGGTAGATCGCTAGTCATGGTCTGAAGCCACAAATGGGTCAAACTAGCATCTCCACCCGGATGTTGTACTCTCAGCCATGGCCCGAAGCAGGTTTCTTCAAACAATTTTCTTTGTGCAGTTGAAAGCTTCGAAGCAATTGTAGTGGCTAGGCTAACTTTATTCCTTAATGTCAATGAAGCCGAAAAAATTTCTACAAAAAAACAATAAACATTCCAAGTTAGATATACCAAAAATTACACTGTCAAGATATACCAAAAACAAAACAATAAACATAATAGTAGTTTATTCTTGAAACTAAAATTTGCAACACTGTTTTGTCTTTTGGTTGAAATGAAAATCGCAACGAGATAATGAGAATCGCAACGCGGAAATGACTATCGCAACGAGAGAATCGCAACACGAAATGACTATCGCGACCAGACAATCGTAACGCGAAATGAAAATCGCAACCGCGAAATAAAAATCGCAACGCGAAATGAAAATCGCAACGCGAAATGAAAATCGCAATGCGATTTTGGTTTCGCGTTGCGATTTTTATTTCGCGTTGCGATAGTTATTTCCGCGTTGCGATTTTCATTCTCGAAACTATTCTTCTTCTGCATTACTTCAACCAAAAGACAAAGCAAAGACAAATACTAACTTCACAGGCTAAACAGTTTAGCAGTATTGGCAGCAATCGAATGAATTTAATAAGAAATCTAAGTGAAATGGTTAATCTATTATTGAAATTACCAGTAAACTTATCATCAATCTCAATATGAAAAACCTAAAATAATGTAAAAATTTCAAAATAAAAATAAAAAAAAACTAACCCTCGGAGGTTGATTTTCCATTTCTGAATGATTGTGAGGGATTTTTGACTGTGAATGGTTGTGAGGGATTTCGCCGGCGATGGGGACGGAAATCTTCGGAGATGGGGACGGATTTCGCCGTAGAGAGTGAGAGATGGAGATGGGACTGAGTGTTGTGTTTTTGGGTTTGAGGTTATGAGTTGCGATTACTGTGGACGGTTCATTTTCCGATTTATTAAGAAAAAATTCGTGTTTGGAATTTGAAAAAAAAAATACGCGTTAATACGAATGATGCTATGTAAATCGCATTGCGAAAGTCAGAATCGCGTTGCGAAAGTCAGTATCTCGTTGCGATTTTGTATTATCGCATTGCGATAGTAAGTATCGCATTGCGATTTTCCCAATTCGCGTTGCGATTTACTTATTCGCATTGCGATTTTCCCAATTCGCGTTGCGATTTACTTATTCGCATTGCGAATTGGGAAAATCGCAACGATACTGTAGACCATCGCAACGCGATTTTCAACTATCGCATTGCGAAAATGCAACGCGAATTTGCGATAATGGAGATCGCGTTGCAAATTAGCGATCACATTGCGATTTTGTTGGTCATTTTGGCAAATCCGGAAAAAGTTGGTTAAAATCGTATATTATATGGGATTTTTGGTCACTGAGGTTATTTTCTCTTCTTAAAATTATATTATCAGTGACAATTTATAATCAATAGGTACCAATTCTAGGCGTTGTGGGGTATTAATCCTTCCCCAAACGTAACCGACCACGAATCCCTTTTTATTGCTAAAAAAAATGAATTTTTGAATAAACGCATACCAATTTCTCTTTTAAAATGGTATTTTCTTAAAAACTATTTTAAAAGATGATTTTTAGGTATTCACCTACCTAATCCAAAAGGTCGATGGCGACTCCAAAACATTTCCTTAAAAGCCATTTATTTATTCACATTACTTTTCCGCCAAGGAAAATTCGTGCCCGGACGAAAACCGGTTACGACAATTTAGTGGAACGAGTTTTAGGAAAGTGATAATTGAGTTTGAGTTGGAATTAAATTTATGATAAAAACTATATTTAATTTTTAGTTCTCATCACTCTCGTTCCTCATGCAAATTCACTCATCTTTCACTACTCTAAAATTTCTAAATTCCTAAAAGAATCATCGATAATCACACAAACTATCGTCATCAGTTGTCGTTTGAACTCTAAATTTTTTCAAAAACAGGTACCGTATTTTGGTCCAATATGACAACATAGGCAGGATTTCTAAAAGTTGTTTATTTGGAATCTTCTGTTATTTTAGTGGATTGTCTGGTTTGTGACTGAATCAATAAGGTCTGCTCGGTTGTAAGTCGGGGAATCTCAAGAAGGGGTTTTACGTGAATTTTTAAGTCTTGGTGGCCTCTTAATTGGAATTGCAATACTGTCTCCAAGGCGATTGGTTGTCTCTATGTGGTGTTGCTGTTTGATCAAGGTGTGCAGATTAGATTGTTGTGTTGTTTCTGTTGACTCTTCTTAGTGTTTGAGGGAATTTGTTTTTATGTTTGGTTGTGGTGTTGTAAAGTTATGGTCCTGCGATGCTTAGTCATAGATAATTGGGAGTGTTGTGTGTTTGTATTGTGGGGGCATTTGTGTTGTGTATTTGTTGATGTTATTCTCAATTTTTTCCCATTGATTAGGACACTCTTTTCCCTCCATCTAAGATTAGGGAGGGTTTTTAACGACCCTACCAATCTAATTTAATCATACAAAACTCATTTTTTTTTTAAAAATAACTATATTATCTTTCTCATCAAGAAGAGTCTTCTTCGTGGAAATTAAAAAAAGACATTCATCGATCTTCGAAAATCAATATACCAAAAAATGAGTATCTTTTTGACTTTTTTCCCTCTTAGTTGTTCTCTATCTTTGGGGGTTTTGTTTTCTTTTTCTAAATCTTTTTTTTTACTGATAGATCAAGCTATTCATCTTTATTCTCTCATATTTCGTCATGAGTTGTAAATCTAATAGGAGCACTCACATTCCTTTCCTTATAGTCCCATCTTTTCCTCGTCTCTAGGTAGAATTAGGATTATGTTGGGATTTATGATGTTTTATCGATCAACCGAAAATGTTGTCAAGAGGAGATGAATTGACCTTTTTAAATTTTTGGGAATTGAGGAGAAAGGATAGGAAAATTGGCTCAAAGATTTATAGTGGTTCAACTTCCTCAATGAAGTCTACATCCATTACTTCAGCTCCTCACTAAGGATTTCTAACAAATTCACTAATTTGTTTTTTCTTTTTCTAGGCTCAAAAGTAACATTTACAAATTCTTTTTATCTTTTACAATGGTTAAGATAGAACCAAAACCCCTTTTTAACAAGGATAAAAGGTTCTAGACAATAAACCTCTCAAAGGAAAGTGTTTACACAATTTAACTTTCTAAAACACTCTGTGTACAAGAGAAAAGGAAAAAGTAAAATTGAAAGAGCTTTCTCTTGATGTGGATTGCTTGGATAGGTGTTTTAAACTTCTTCAAGTGTTCTCAACTTGTTTTTATATGTTGGAATACACATGTACCCATTTCTAGCCTTTGGGGATGTTATGGAGCCGTTGGGGACTTACTTGTTGCAAAATAAAACTACCCAGACCAGGGAGTATCGGTACTCGGGCTTGGAGTATCAATACTGCACTAATAAAAACTAGTCGCTTTTCGACCGCTGTGCTTGGAGTATCGATATTGAGATCATGGTATTGATACTATAATACAAAGTAGTATTAATACTACTTTTAGTATCAATATCAAAAATGCCTACTAAAATCTGAACACATTTAAATCTAATAAGCAGTATCGATACTGCCATGAGGATATTGATACTACAAGAAAAATATTGATATTGTTCATGTGGTATCGATATTGTTCTTCAATACTGTAAGACCAATATCGATACTTCTTTGAAGAAAATCATTTTTGTGTTCAAATTCAAGTTTTATAGACTTTGAATTATTTTGAAAACTTTGAATAAATTCAATTTAGTCCCAAAAACATTTTGTCCTTAAAATTGTTATATCAAAATATGTTCAACAGATCAGATTTGAAATTTGTCACACACACAAAAATAACTCTTTTTACCTTTTTTGCAAGTTTTTTTGTTTTTGAATTTTGGTTTAGTGAATTTAGAGTTTTAAAGTGATATTTGATCAGATAGAGTCGTGGTTTATTTTCACCCCATGTTTCGGGTCAGGTTCGGGATGGATAAGACTTTTAAATTCGGGTCAAGTCAAGTGTCGAGCAAGGGTATGAAATTATCAAATCCTGGCTAGTACGAAAAAAATCTGACCCTATTCGATCCATGTCTATCCCTAGCCATGACCTTAGTTAACTAAGTCGTTTAACCTGGTGTATTTTTAGGATAAACTATACCTTTAGTTGAGTGTAAATGAATCGAGCTTGAACGAACAATGTTGTGTTTGTTTGATTATTTTTAAGGTGTTTATATTCGGTTCGTATTCGTTTAATATTTTAGTATTGTGTTTGTATTCACTTATTTATTTTGCAAACGTGTTCGTTTAATGTTCGTGAGCATGTTTGTTTAAATGTTCGCGAACATGGTCGTTTATATATTTGTTTAGCATTCGTAAACATGTTCGTTTAGCATTTGTTTATCATTCGTGAACATGCTTGTTTAGCGTTCATTTATCGTTCCCGAATATGTTCGTTTAGAATAAATGGGAAAAGATAAATTGCAAATTTGGTAAGTGAATTTTACTCTCTCTCATATTCCACTCATTGTACTTTAAATCTTTTTAATTTCCTCACTAAATTTAATATTTTGGGTTTTTTTTGTCACTCGGTCATTTTCTCACTAACGGCGTTATGACATGACTTTTTTGTTGTTAACAGAGGAGTGACTGAAAAAAATCCAATACATAAAGTTCAGTGATTAAATTAAAAATATTTAAAAGTATAGTGAGCGAAATAGAAGAGAGAGTAAAGTTCAATGATTAAATTTGTAATTTATCCATTAAAAATAAAATTAAAAAGTCACATCATAACGTTGTTAGTGAGGAAACGACTGAGTGACCAAAAAATTCAATGTATTAAGTTCAGTGAGGAAATTGAAAAGATTTAAAGTACAATAAGTGTAATAGGAGAGAGAATAAAGTTTTGTTACCAAATTTGTAATTTTCCAAAGGGAAAAGAGAGCAAAGGGAAAAGGTTTTTTTAGTGTTATAATAGGGAAATGGTAAAAAGTGCTTAAACTTATTAGGATTCATAGTTTAAACTCTAAATTTCATCATATATTCAATTTAGTATTTATCTTAACTAATATTCAAAATATGTAAAAAAAAATTAACTAGCTTCTATGCGAACTTATAAACAAAGTTCTAAATAAGCTTCTAAACGAGCTTATAAATGAGCTTCTAAACGAGCATTTAAATGAGAATCTAAACGAGCTTATAAACGAATTTGTTCGTGAACATAAGCGAACCAAACACACATTTGTTCGTGTTCGTTCGTTTATTAAATGAACATAAAAATTTTGTTCATACTCATTTATTTAGATTAATAAACGAACATTATACAACACGAAGAGTTCACTGAATGTTATGTTCATTTACACCTCTAACCGTTTGTCATTAAATTTTAAATTGCATATTGATTTTCGTGCTAGAATTTAAAACACTTTAATTTAAGCACTGAAATTTAGTTTGAGGTTGAATTAAAGTATTGAATCATTAAATCATTGTCGATCAATTACCATCCTCATCGATTGTGATTTGCAACAAGATTGATACTAAAATATTTGTATTTTTTTCCTCTTCCTTCTCTTCGAATTGATTTTTCACAAAATTCACTCAAACTCGATGAAAATCTATCTAAATATTCTAACTTCTAATGCTTCGATCTCCTCTAACGATCCTTCAAGGAGTCTTGTCTCAAGATATGTTGTTATCTTCTTGAAAGAACACTTCTCACTATTCTAGAGCAAATATCTCAAACTTCTCAAAATTGATAAAACCCCTAAAAACCCAAAAATAATGGTTATGTATGTTTAATTTCTGAAATTTTAAAGAGGTTTTGGGAAAATATAAACCGATAAAATAATAGAGGACGATGAAGTGAGTTTACCGATGTTTAGAGTCATCGTAAAATAGATTGGACAATGATAGTTTATGGCGACAACAAAAAAGTGGGTGAAAATAAATCTTAATTTTGATGGAGGAGATGAAAAAGTGAAATAAAAAATATTCTTTCGGTTTCCATGTGAATACCAAAACTAGTATGACAATCATGTCGTTTTAAATTTAACATTTGAATCTTAAACTATAAAGCTTAGCTCTTAAATTAAAATGTTTCATCGATATATGATCTAAAGTTTAGTAACTAATGGTGTAATTTACATTTTTTAATTAGATCATCCCTCTAAAATCGTGTATAGTTAGCGTTCCAATTCGGTAGGTTGAGCATTTTCGTGTATAAACGAAATGGAAATTTCAAGAGAGAAAAGCTGCAATTGGTAAAGTTCAATTTCAAGCTCCGATATTAAGAAGTGCAAGACAGAAAGAGATAAAGGACATCTGAAAATGAAATTGTAAGAACTTTGTCTCGGAGGGCTTCGATGGAGAAGGAAGCCCATAGCGCCATACTATACTATGCTTAGAATGGATTGTAGCCACAGCACCAGGAGTACTAGTTGGATGACTGTTGTGCTTATAGCTTGGTTTTCGTTTTTGAGAACTGCAACTATGTTGCACCAGGAGTACTAGATGGATTGTTCCGTTGACATGCTGAAGAACTTGTTTCATTGCCTCCCATTATTGCCTGTGACGCAAGACAGAAGCTTGGCTAATCCTAAATCCGCAACATGAGCGACCATGTCGTCGTCAAGGACATTGGAAGGCTTTAGGTCGCGATGAACAATCAATGTCTTGCCACCACGATCAAGGCAATGAAACGCATGTAGTCATTCTTTAGGCAAGTTGCACAGAAACAATAAAAGCATGATGAACCGAGGGGACTCTCATAAAATATCAAATATGATATTACACTTAAATAAGATTTTTCATATTTTTATAAACAAAATTAAATTAATTATTTACCCTATAATGATTTGATAATCTCACGTGCACAAATTTGAAGGAAACTTCAAATACTATTATCAGATTTTGTCACTATAAGACATCTGATTCCACCATGTTTTAGTACCAAAATCGTCAAAGATACGTTCATCTATTTCGTGCACAAAATTCTTTTGGAAATTTTCTATCTTCTTACATATTTGGCTGACTCATTAATGTCAAGTTGTTGGACCGAAATACATTAAGGTTACGTGTCTCATCTGAAATTCAATAGCAACAGATAAACAACGATAACCCATGAAAATGAAAACACTTATTGCTATTAACATAATCTTTAGCTGAGAGGAAAACAGGTTCCTTCACCACCAGTTCCCCATAGAAAATAGGCGTACTTGGATGCTCGGAACGGGTTTTTCAGGTCGGCCTTGATTGCCTCCAGGTACCGTTCTTCGGCCTCCGGTTGGTTGTTCTTCGCCTTCCACAAGAAGTCCGCGTATTGCTCTAATGCCTCCGGATCTTGTGGTTCGACCTGAATTGCACGTTTGAAGTACTCCTCCGCCCTGTTAGAGTCCCGATTTCAACAAAATCAGCATCATATATAACATAATCCGGGTCGAGAACTACAGGGTAAGAGATTATACCTGTCATGGTCCTTGACAACAAGGTAAAGAAACTGAGCATAATTCAACAGCAAGAGAGAATTCTCAGGCTCGTCAGCTATACGCATCTGATAAACGAGGTTCATTTTCAAACGCGATTCGTCGTTATCGTCCGGTTCGAGCCGCACGTGTAGGGGAGACACCAACTGCTGCCTAATCTGATGATCAATGACCTTGTAACATACCTCTCCTTGCATTCTCGAAGCCTCCTCCACCATCGACCTCCACATCCCTAATTCTCCATCAATGATATCGGTTTCAGCCACGACCGGTTGTCGACTAATGTCCATAACGGCCTTATTAGTCATCGAATGTACCGAAAAATTGGCCAAAAGGAGCATCACGTAGACCATAAGAGTCGGTGTTGTCGAAAACACTTGCTGAAACAGCCACACGAATGTTAATGTCAAATCCCTTTGCATCTTGTTCATCGCATCGATTAAATCTTCACAGTTTAAGCCTTCCCTTATAACCAATGTGTAGCTCTGAAGCTCTCTTATGATCAATACCAGTGAAGAAAATGCCTTTTTAACAGAGCAGTATGCAAACTCCCCTGCATCCACGAAACCCTCTTTCCACTTTTGCTTCCTCTTTATCATCCGAACCGAATGCGGGATTCCGAAACATCTCGCTTTCTGCTCGATATCTATCCTACAAACCTCGTCTCGCTCGGGCCAGTCCGGCGGATCCGGACAGATACCGAGCAGACTAGGGTCGAGCAACTCGACCTTTGAGGGTAAAATCTGCGTCTCTAAGCTGTTTTGAAACAAGCCTCCGTCGGAGAAATCGTCGAACCGCGCACGGGGAGAGAGTATCCGGCTACGTCCTTTTAACTTTCTCGATATTAAACTGAAGGTCAAAGGTTGCTGATTGAATCCACCGTGATTAGCAAACCAAACCGCAGAGATCAAAAGGACTGGTTTTTGTGGGATTTTGTGTATGAGCATACCCTTTGAAGCTAAATTTAGCTCCATAGTTTATAAAATTCTGGGATTTACCTGCTTATCAAAGAAACAGAGAAAAACCAGAAATGAAGAGATTTAAGCTATGGGTGAACGAATAAAATGAATGAAAAAGAAATCAGATTTCAACAGTTTCCATTGTTCGAAGGTCGAGAATTTAGGTGGCTGAGAAACATACCACGTGGGTTGAGTGCATGGTTTGGTGATACAGGTGAAAACATGCGGCATTTTCAGATCGGTTGCGAGTCTTGGTGCTGGAAAATTTGCAGGAAAAAGGTTTGGAGGTGTTGACACTTGGCTCTGTTACCACGGAAGCGTCGCTGTTGGGTTTTATAAATTTTGACTCACAAAACTCAGATCTAGAATGACCGAAAGGTCTGTATTGTTCTTTGACGTTTTCCAGCCAGGCACAATACTTTTCGCTTTAAACCGAAGAGGGAGAAAAACGACTGTTCGATTTAGTGGGTTAGTACTTTTTATTTTTGTTTATATTTTCTAAAAAATATTTATATTTATGAGTAGTAAACGGCATCCGTAAACAACATCATGAATACGTGAAGGATAGTCCGAAACAAATGATATTGAAGTATACATGACCAAGGCATAATGGGCAAGAGTATACTGTACACTCTCATCAATGATCAAGACAATTGGAGGACAGAACCACAATTGTTACCTTGGGAGTATATGATCTTGATGGAACAATACATTCTAACAGTGCCATAACTGATGTAAGAACACAAGGAGATCAATGAAACGTGCGACATCCAAGGATTCTATAACACACCTACAATTAATCTAGTAATTATTTCATTTTCGTTGATAAAAAATTAGGTTTAATTTTGAAATTATTCTATGAATAAGGACCAAAATATGAAATTAATAGTTTTGAATGTAAATAAAGTTGAAAACCCCTTTTATGGAAATTTTTGTTAAAGGACCAAAGCTCTACTTTTCCCAAAATTTTAATATTGGCGATTCTTCACCTATGAGTCATGAAATGGTAATTTATAATTATTTTATTAGTTATGAAAATTAATGTTTTGATTCAAATTAGACAACTATTCACACCTAAAGCACTAGCTAGGGGGAGAGAAAAAGTGAAACTACATCTTCAACTTTTGAATTCTATCCACTTTATAATCTCCTTTAAACATTCAAAGCCTCAAGTTAAATTTATTACAATCTAACCATTAGAATTCAATTTTAATCATATAATAACCTCTTGTTCCTACCTTTCATTTAATACCAACTTGATTAAGTTTAGAGTATTAATAATAATTTTTTCCATGACAGGATCTTTGGTTCACGAAATGTAAAATTACCTTTGGAAATAATACTATTATGAGAATATTGTATTACTTTGTTTTGTTTGTTTAGAAAGAATGTAAAACTAAAATATTTAGTTGAAAGAATATAAGATTACTTGAATGCATATTTTACCAAATTATCCTTGTGATATATGTTTTTTTTAAAAAGGCTTAAATGTCCCATTGCCCCCTTAACTATATCATTTGTACCGAGTAATCCAATTATATTAATTTTAAAATTTTCGCAAGGGATAATTTATAGGAACTATATCCTAAATTCGAACATAGTATAGGGACCAAAATTAGAATTTGACCTGATCGATTAGCTGGCGAGACATATTCATTAAGCTGACATGGCAATATATCATTGAACCACGTTGACAACAGATGGCCGCGCTAAAACAACAAAAAAACCACCCGATGATTTCTTTGCTTTCTCTCAGGCAAACCTTCCTCTAATTCCTTAATAAATCCTTCTCCGGCAGCCGACAACGAAAATTTCCCTTCGAGGCCGACTTAAACGGCGTCGTTTTCCTCCATGGCCTCCCCGTACAGAGATCGGATCGCCGAGTTCCGATCACTATCCCAAACGCTTCAAAAGCTCGGAGGAGAGATCTCAGCCGTCGATAAGAATCATCTCCAAAACGACGATGTTTCCCAATCACCTCCTCTTCCATTTCCATCTTTCAGATCTGAGTTCAACAGAAAGGCTTCTCTAATCGGGTCGGGTATCCATGAAACCTCTCAAAAGATTGTTCGACTTGCCAAATGTAAGCTCTTTATTTCGATTGTTCTTTTAGCTTAAAACTTTGTACAATTTTTTTTTTGCTTGGTATTTGATCCATTTTAAACATACAATAACCTAGATTTTAGCTCTCGAGAATAAAAAGTTGATTGATTCAAGTGTTTGCTTTTTAAATTTTAGAAAAATGAATAAAAGACAGAACATTTATCTTAATTTTACATTTGGGGATTATTATTTTGCAATGGGATTTTTGAAATATTGTTACTTTGTTTTATGTTTTTTAATGTGATTGTTGGAGTGGCGAAAAGATCATCGATGTTCAATGATCCAATTGTTGAAATACAGGAATTGACTGCTCTGATAAAGGCCGATATTACCGCCTTGAATGCTGCACTTTCGGATTTGCAAACACTTCTAAACATGGAGATCGCTGATGGTAATTACTCCGAGGATCGGGTTGTTCATTCGACAATGGTTTGTGATGACTTGAAGAACAAGTTAATGGGTGCTACAAAGCATTTCCAAGACGTGTTAACTGCAAGAAACTGAGGTTTTCTTCTTTTTTGCTATGCTAGAATTGTAGTTTGCTTAATAAGTATTGGGAGTGAGAACCAACTAGTGTAATTTTTGGCTATCACAATACTTATGTTCTTTGGGCATCTCTATATTGTGTTTGTGCAGAATATTAAAGCTCACGAGAATAGGAAACAGATATTTTCTAAAAGTACAACAAGAGAGAACCCGTTTCAGCGCCCAACAAAATCTGTGATTGAGCCACCTCCTTGGTCAAGTTCTTGAAATGCCATTGAGATTTCACTGCCCTCAGGATGAGTTACGTGAGTACTCTCATGTCTTGTGCTGCATTTAGGAGATATTAATGAACATCAGATAGGAAACTACTATGGTTGATATTACCCTGTCTTCATGTGTAGGAGGCCAAGTCGCTTTCCGGCTATTTTTTGGGAATCTGAAAGAATCATTTCATTCGGTGTGCTAGACTATTAGCGTGTTGCAGTTTAATCTTTAAAATTAACTGTCTGTTGGTTAACCTCTGGCATAGATTCTGCACTGACCACCTTAGATGTTATACGTCAACTGTAAAATATTCTGCCGTGGATATTTGCTTACACCTACCATTAGACTTTTAATTTTTTGGATGTGCCAGTTTTATTCAATGCAAAACGATAGCTTCTACTCTTGCTGTTTTACTAATGTATGTATTTTGCTTTTAACCAGACTGCCATCTAAGGGAGTGCAAGCTGGAAGCCAACTAAGGTGTGTGTATTTGTTATTGTTCATTGATGTCTGAGGTCTATATTCTTCCCATTGCTCAAGTGTTCTGCTTGATGGTCATATTTCTGAACTAAATCCATCAACATCTTTATGTCATCTTATGAAATTTAGATGTGTGCGTATTTACCCTTTACCATGCATTCAGATTGAAATTTTCTTTATTTATGCATATGTAGATATGTATCAAACTCATGCCCTTATAGAAATATATCAATGAGTTTCATTTTCGTTTCTGTTTCCCTATTTGTTATATTTTCCCCAACCATACCTATAAGCGGAGGCCGGCCGTGGATGGCACACCTTCACACCACATGGAAATGTCCATGTTGCAGCAGGTCGTTCCCAGGCAAGAGGATTACTCTCAAGGTAGAGCGGTTGCTTGTAACCCTGTTGAGAACCCGATTTGTGCATCAATAGTGGCTGATGAATTTGATATCGGATAATATGTATGATTCGAAATGATCAATTTTTCTCCCCCCATCTTCCATGCTAGTATTTTTGCTTCTATTGCCTGTACTTGTTCGTATTATATCTACCCATACGTGATACGTAGAAGGAATGGTATCCTTCTTTTGCCATGAGTGCATAAACTAAATCAACTATGTTCTTGTTGAATAGTGATGTCTAGGCTAAGCCCCCGCTGTCTGTCACATTTGCTGAAACCTGTCGGCCTTGAGGTAGAAGAGTTCTTCTATCGATGTGTGCATGTCTTTAGGGCTGCATAGGAAGAGCCTTTCCCTATGTCCAAAGATGTCAAAAGAAATATTGCCGGAAAGAAAGGCTCACCGGAACTTTATTGATCATCATCCCATGTCGATTCTGATGGTAGAAGGAATACCGTTTGCGGACCATATCCATTTTAATTATGATCACAACTACATTGATTAAAAGCCAAACTAAACTTTGTTTGCAGATTAAATAAACAAAACAGAGAGTGAACCCCACTAAGTTGATTGATGCATACTTTCTCTGAGAATCTTGAAAACTTTTTAAAACCAAGAATTCTTAAATCAGTTGTAGACCACAGCAAAGTTTGTTTCACTAAAAGAACAGAATTGCCAAAGCAGAACAAGTGGAGAATAGGAGAAGGAAAGAATAGTCTGATATGAATACAAAAGAATATTAGTTTAGAAATTTTCTCAACGCATATATTCTACAATCGTCGTTGCTCAAACTCAAATTATCTAATGAGAAATTCTCTTTTACTATTGATGTTATAATAAATTCATTTATTCATCCACTTTAAAATTTTCTTATGTGTATATATACAAAATCTAAAAGTGGGTGCAATTGCTTGTTGGCAATTGATTAAAGTTTTTTTTTTGTTGGGGGGTGTTTTTTTTCTGACCTTTCATCTCAAAGATTCATTGGAAACAAGAAAAATCAAGTACTGGCAGACACAGTGAAGGGTGGAAACAAATATAAAATCTTCGATGTTCCATGATAGATTTGGTAAGACAGTGTTGAACACCGCAAGGTTAACCCTTGAAATGACTGACAATTTGCAATGGGATGCTTTCGAATTTTTGCCTAAACAACTCTATCCTTAGTTGACAAAGTACGCACTAACTCACCCATTACAACACCTCCATTCACCTTGTTTGAAATTTAATGAAAGTGTGAAGATCAAATCCCAAGTATATAAAGAGTACAAGGACTTCAAATATATTTTAACTTTTTTTAAACAAATATTTAATTTTTTTTATAATTTATATTTAAATCCACTTTTGCATGTGAAAAGTGCTAAATTTGGGGAAATTAATAGTATATAATAAGATTTTAGTTTGAGAAATGTTTATTTAGAGCGTCAACATTGAATTTGCTAAAGTTGGTGAAGAGTGGTGCTTGTATTGGTGGGCATATGAGCATGTTGGGTGGAAGGATAATTGGGATTTGTCATGGATTTCAATCTCTTGATGGTCTGCTTTCCTGTTCATTTCTCCATGCTTACCAAGCTTGACATTTCAATTCGATCTTTTAAAGTTTTGTAACTCAAAAGTATATATCATACTTTGATTCAAGTCTTATTCTATTCAAACTCAAATATATTTTTTATCATTAGTTCAACTATATTTTGTATACATACTTATAATTCCAAAAATAACATTTAAAATAAATGGGTTTCTCTTTTATTGACGACCTCAAGATTTATTTTTGAATCCCCAAAAATCCACACGACCACGTAATCTTATAATCTAAAAGTTCTTCAACGTTTAGTGCTATGTCGGTTGGTCAAATATTTTACAAAACATAAATTGGATAAGACAACATGTTTAAGGTTTTGGTCACAACTTTGAATATAGTAATAAAAACATCAACAAAGCTATGAAAGATCTTCATAGTACTATTGTAACATAACTTGAATTGGATTTCATATTTTGAGGGTGTCAATCTGTCCTTTCCCCTAGGCAAATTCAATGTTGACACATATTCAATTCTCCATGGCCCCTCCAGAAAAGGAATTTTGCTCCACTATGTTAGCCTTCTTTTATGATTACAAGAGTAAAGCAAATAAAATAAAGAATAAGAAAATGGTTGACCCCATCAATAATAATAGTGTTGTTGTCACTTGATAGTATCTACCATTATTGTCTCAATTGCACATCATCTAAAGTTGGGTCCAATGACTCAAGTTTGTCCATCTATATAATATTTACTACAATGCAATTTCAATAGTTGCCTATACAGCATTGGACCGAAAATGGTTGAGGTGTCAAGATTTTATTTTTGTTTAAATCTCATTATATGTAAATCTTTATTGAATATATTAGCCATTTGTATCATACATTCTCAAATTATGATTTTCATTTTAAACTGCTTCTTAAAATTTTGAATGTACTAGTTTTATCCTCAAAATATGATTTTATTTTAAATTAGTCCTTAAACTTTTGAACATGTTAGTTTCATCCCAAACATAGGTTCAACTATGATTGGAACTAATTATATATTTGGATGAATACGAGGATGAAATTGGAAGATTTAAAAGTTTGTTAACCAATTTAGAATAAGAATTATAATTTGGGGATGAAATTAAAATTTTGTGGACTAATTTAAAATGAGAATCATCGTTTGAAGATAAAATAAAATTATTAAAGAATTTTATGATTAATTTAAAATGAGAATTATATTTTGAAAAAATGTGTTGCAATTAATTCTTATTAATTGATTATGCTTTATAATGATTAATTCTCATTATAGTTGCTAGGATGTGTATTTGTTTATAATTGTAAGTTGTACTTTGTAACTTCAAAAAAGAAGTATTTCGAGTCGGAGTAGATATGTCTATAGATAAAATCACTTAGCAGACATCTCACTGTAAATTTTAATATTGCTATAAATTTAAATTTATAAATTTTTTAAAATCAAACCATGATAAAATTCTCATCCATTTCATTTGTTTATAAATTTTTAAATTTACAATAAAGTTTTACATTATTTGTTCTAATTTAGTTATATGAATAGATTAAATACTATCTATTAATCTAAAAATAATAATTTTCTTTTTGAGTTAGCATCCGATAAATCCAACTCAATCAAAGTTTTTTTGAATTAATAATTTATATTTGACCGATTAATCAAAATCGAGTATTGGAGAGGCATGGGCTACCCTTCCAAACCAATTTACTCTATTCACAAATGTCAGAGTTCGAATCCCTGACATTGTTTAAATAATCTAGTACGTCGTCCCACCATATTAAACGATGGTTCGTAACTCAATCAAAGTTTTAATAACAAATTATAGCAGGATACTACAAAAGAAACATATTACACAATTTATCAAACAACGTCATAAAAAAGTTTTCATAATAACATTATTAATAATTAAACTTTATATGCATGTATATATATCGTGTTAGGGTTTATCACTACTAATTATTATAAACTTTCTTAAGCAAAGAAAGAGGATCCCGAATAGCCTCTTCGATTAATGATTATCTTTCCCACTAATCACTAGGCCAAGCTTAAAACCTAATCCGAGTTTATTATTTCAGAAGTTGAAATTAAGCATCGATTAATCAATTTTCAATTAAACACTTATCCACTCTAATTGTATTATTATTTATATTTAAATCCATTAACTTTATCTCGACTCTATCTATGATATAAAGCACAAGTGGATGAACACATAACCAAAATATATTTTATTGTATATTAAAAAGATATAGATAAAATTCACATACGATGTAACTAAAACTAAAATAAGTTTCAAATTAATAATTTATATATAAATCTAATTTTTTAATATTAGGGGTGGAAGTTGGAGGGCCGGGCCTTGGGCCAGGGCAAGATGGGCGCCCGCCCAGGGCCCAAAAATTATTTTTTAATTATAATATTTTTTTATTTTTTATAATAAGTTAAAAAATTATAAAACAAAATAGGGTAATTTATGTATTTAGCACCTAAACTATCAATTTTGATCCATTTTAGTACCTAAACTTTTATTTTTTTTAAATCATAATGTTTAGTTTTCATTTCATTTTAGTATCCCGCAGTTAAAAACTTAATGCGTTTAGTACTTAAACTATCA